TTTCTCTCTTGCTCTCCATGTCTCTCTTTCTCATTTTTTTTTAATCTCTCTCCCTCTCTCTCCATATCTCTCTCTCTCTTCCTTTCTCTCTCTTACTCTCTCTCTGAACCTCTCTCTCTCTTGCTCTCGCTCTTGCTCTCTCTTTCTTTCTCTCTCTCTCCCTCTCACACTCTTTTTATCTCTCTCCCTCCCTCTGTCTTACTCTCTCTCCACGTCTCTCTCTTGCTCTCTCCTTCTTTCTCTCCATGTCTCTCTCTTTCACTCTCACTCTTTTTATCTCTCCCCCTCTCTCTCTATGCCTCTCTCCCTCTTTCAATCACCATGTCTCTCTTTCTCTCCATCCTTCCATATCTCTCTCCACCTCTCTTTTCCACCCCTCCCTCATTTAATAACCCGTGCGTTTGTTTCATTTGTGTCTCTTTTTCTTTTTCTCTCTCTCTTTCTCTCTGTTTGTCTGTGGAGAAAAATGGGGCCGGGCGCTCTTCTCTTGTAAGCTAATTATTTGCATGTGATAAAAAAAGAAAGGATCGGAGCGGAGAGAGGTGAAGACACAACCCGCCGACTGTCCGCAGGATTAATTTTAACCTCTCTCGTGCTTTTTGTGAATGTATTTCTTTATCTGGCCTTCCCCCCAGGACAGCTCCACTATTATTTATGCTGCAAATAGAAAGGCGGCGCATGCATGGCACAGCTCTCCAATGTATTACAACCTCCGGCGATTAGGAGGCGGCACGGCGGACCGCTCGCCCCTCCGCAAACTCGCCTCTCACCCGCCCGTCTATGCACACACCCGTTATGTCCTCCACCCGCCCGGTATTCCCTCCATCGCGCTTGGTCATTTTGTTTATACGTAGCACGAGGAGGAAGTAGACTTGTTTGGAGAGCAGATCTTCACGTCCGAGCTCCAGACGTCCACTGTCTCTTAACTCAAGGCGGTGACACAGCACCCGCGGGAGAAACGGGGGAAGGGAGAGGGAGAGAGGAGGAAGAGACAAGGGAGAAGGGAATGAGAAGCTAAGAGGAGAAGAGGAAGGAGGAAAGAGGCAGGAGAGGGGCAGGGGATTGGAGAAGGAAGAGGGAGAAGAGAAAAAGGCAGAGGAGGATGAGAGAAAAAAACAGAGAGAAAGAGGAGAAGAGGAAAAGAGGGCAGATGGTGGAAAGAGGGTGAGGGAGGATAGGAGGGATGGAGGAGAGTGAAAGACGGAGAGGGATAGGAGAGGGAGAGAGAAAGAAGTGGAGGCACGGAGGTAAGAAAGGAGGGAGAAAGAGGGTGAAAGAGGAGGAGACAGGAGGGGTGAGGGGGGTAGAGACAAGGGAGGAGGGAGAAAGAAATGAGTAAGGTGAATGAGAAGGGGGGGAGAGGCAGGGCAGGGACAGAGAGGACAGAAAAATGGGACAGGGAGGAAGGAAAGGATGGAGGAGGAGCGGGTAGAGAGGAGCGGAGTGAAAGAGAGGGATGGGAGGAGGGAGAGAGAAAGAGGTGGCGGAGAGGAGGAGAGGCCAAGGGTTAAGAGAGGAGAGGAATGGAGAGACAAGGGAGAAGGCAATGAGAGGATGAGAGAGGTGATTGAGAAGAGGGAGAAAAGACAGAGGGGAGGAACATGAATGAGAGAGAAATAGAGAGAGGAGGATGAGGAAAAAGAAAAAAAAGAGGAGGAGAGAGGGAGAAAAACAGAAGCCAAGGGGGGCGAGAAGAGGAGACGACATAGAAAGAGTAAGAAAAGACAAGAGAGGGGGAGTAAAGGGAGAGAGGGAGAGAAAGTTGTGAAAGAGATGAGAAGGAGAAGGGTGAGAGGATGGAAAGAGAGGGTGAGGAGGAAGAAAGCAGAGAGAGAGAGAGAGGAAGGGGGGTGGGTGTGAGAATGATAGGATGAGAGAGAGGTGAATGAGAAGAGGAGAAAGGGAGGAGAGTGTAGAGAGGGCAGAGGAGTGCTGGCGGAGGAAGAGGGACAAGAAAGAAAGAGAGGGGTGAGAGAGGAGAGAGGGTTGAATGAAGGGAATGGTGAGGGAGGAAGGGAGGGATAGATGGAGGAGAAGGAGCAGAGAGAGAGGAGGAGAGAGAAAGAGAGGGATTAGGAATGGGGAGAAGGAGCGAGAAAGAGGTGGCGGAGAGGGGGAGAGGTGCAGGGGTAAGAAAGGGAGGAGACAGAGGAAGGGAGGGGGCAGAGGCAAGGTAAGAGGGAGAAGGGCAGAGAAGAGAGGGAGGAAATGGAGAGAAACAGAGAGAAAGGGGGGAGGAGAAAGGACAGAGAGAGAAGAAAGAGAAGATGAACAGAGAGGCTTATAGAGAGGAGGAAGGAGTGAGAGAGAGGGTGAAGTGAAAGAGAGAGGAGAGAGAGAAAGAGAGGGGGAGGAGATATAGAAAGAAAGGAGGAGAGTGGGGTAATGAAGGGGAAGAGAGTGAAAGAGAAAAGAAGAGGGAGGAAACAGAGAGAGAAAGGCAGGAAGAGATAGAGAGAGGTGGCAAGAAAGCGGAGGGAGAGAGGGGAGAGAATGACAGGACGGGGAAAAAGACAGAGAAGGTGAAGAGAGGATGAAAAGGCGGGAGAAAGAGGGAGAGAGAAGTGGGCGGGGCATTAAAATGAGTCTTCTCTTGGATGTTTTTGGCTCGGGTCAATATTCCGATCACTGCGTCTGCCTCCGACTCTCGATCGATAAATCCACATTACTCCAACCGCACTTCTCCAACTCCGAGCAAATGAACTGATCCACACACACACACACACACACACACACACACACACACACACACACACACACACACACACACACACACACACACACACACACACACACACACACACACACACACACACACACACACACACACACACACACACACACACACACACACACACACACACACACACACACACACACACACACACACACACACACACACACACACACACACACACACACACACACACACACACACACACACACACACACACACACACACACACACACACACACACACACACACACACACACACACACACACACACACACACACACACACACACACACACACACACACACACACACACACACACACACACACACACACACACTCACACACACACACACACACACACACACACACACAACCACACTCACACACACACACACACACACACACACACACACACACACACACACACACACACACAGTAGTAGTAGTAGTAGTGGTGGTGGTGGTGGTGGTAGTAGTAGTAGTAGCATAGTAGCAGTATTAGTAGCAGTAATAGTCGTAGTAATAGTAGTATTAGTAGTAGTAGTAGTAATACTAGGAGTAGTAGTGTAGTAGTAGTAGTAGTAGTAGTAGTAGTAGTAGTAGTAATAGTAGTAGTGGTAGTTGTACTAGTGGTAGTAGTAGTAGTAGTAGTAATAGTAGTAGTAGTTGTACTAGTAGTAATAATAGTAGTAGTAGTAGTAGTAGTTAATAGTAGTAGTAGTTGTACTAGTAGTAATAATAGTAGTAGTAGTAGTAGTAGTAGTAGTAATAGTAGGAGTTGTAGTGGTAGTAGTAGTAATGGTAGTAATAGTAGTAGTAGTGTTAGTAATAGTAATGGTAGTAATAGTAGCAGTAGTAGTAGTAGTAGTAGTAACAGTAGTAGTAGTAGTAGTAGTAACAGTAGTAGTAGTAGTTGTACTAGTGGTAGTAGTAGTAGTAGTTGTACTAGTGGTAGTAGTAGTAGTAGTAGTAGTAGTTGTACTAGTGGTAGTAGTAGTAGTAGTTGTACTAGTGGTAGTAGTAGTAGTAGTAGTTCTTGTTGTTGTTGTAGAAGCAATATTGAACAAGGTTATTGTAACAGGATTAGACATAGTGAAGTTTAGTATAGTACTACCACGAGTACTAGTATCAAGTAGTAGTAGTAGTAATAGTAGTAGTCATAGAAGCAATTCTGAAATGGTTGTTTTGTATAAGTTTCCAAAATCTGAATATCTAGAATTTTGTTTAAATCAAAACGTCAAAACTGTTTCATTTTCAAACGTATTTGACTAATGTGTTTAATTTGACAATCCGTTCACATGTTTGTGTGATTTGTAAAGAGGAAACAGCACTTTTACATTTAATCCTTGTAACTTGTAACAAAAATAACTCGATAAATAATTCTCTGTGTATGTTCTAGTTTAAAGGCCCATATGACGTTATTTTCTGATCTAAGTTCTAATGCCGTTTCCTCATCACAAACAGACTTTTGTTGAGTTGTGTTTTGTTTGATTCACACAAGTTTAACACATAAACTCTGCAGATTTAGACTGAGTTCTTCTCCCAAACACTCTGTTCCACTTTGTGACATCACATTGTAATACAGAAAATGTTCCACAGTGCTCCCTTTAATAGTGAAAATGTAACTTTAATATGTCTTTTTTTCAACTTCAACAAAGACATCCAGCGTCAAAAGTCAAAGTCTTTTGTAAAGTTTTAAAAAAATAATCTCACATCTTCTTTGAAAAACGTAATAATAATTTCACGGTAAACAGCTAAGTTTTCTCTCCTTTCGCTCGTGTTTACGTTTCTGCCTCTCACCTGCCGTTGTCCTCAGATGAAACGACGGCGTCTGATTGGCCGCTTCACCCCCATCATTACCCGCGCATTAGCATAAACTGTTGGCGACGGCACTTTTTTTTTCTTTTTTTCTCCCCGTCGCTGCGGTTACCTCATCAAAGTCCAGCAGGAGCGGCTCACCTCTCTTTTCTCTCCCCCCTCTGCGCGACGCGTTCAAAGGTTGTCCGTTTTCACAAAGTCGTGCCCGCTAATTACCACCCCATTACAAAGAGCCAGCCCAGTGTTTTGCCGGTGTAATTGCGGGCAGGGTCGTGTCTCCTTTTCCTCATATGTTTGCACGCTAACTGCTAATAATTAATCTAAAGTAGCTAACAGCAGCGGCTAACCTCCTCTCTCCTAACCTGACCTAACTTTCTGTCTGTCTGTCCATCTTTTTTCTCCTCTTTTTCCCCCCCTCCCTGCATCCGCCTCTTTGGGCCTAAAGGGCTTTGGGTTTGTAACTTTTGAGACAAGCACAGATGCGGATCGCGCACGGGAGAAACTAAACGGTACAATCGTAGAGGGACGCAAAATCGAGGTGCTTCACTTTTACTACACTTTACTTTACACTTTACTGCCTGCTGCTACTAAACTCACAGAGATAAGACAGAGATGCTCTAACATTTCTGGGGATGACATGGGAGGTTACTTTGGAGAACGCTCACAACAGCGGTCACACGGTTTCTACTAGGATTTCAAGAGTTAAAATATAAGATAAGACATGTCATTGCTCAGTAACAGATCATATTTTAGTTACACATTATAGTTAGATCAAATACTGTAATACAATATATAAAGTGTAAAAAGTATATTTCTGATAAGAGATGGGACTAGATACAAGCCTGCCCACGAGAAGATGAGATTTTAATACAAATGTATCTAAATGAATTTATTTATTTAATTGTCATGTTTACTTTTATGAATTATATTTTTTTGGTATTGTTTTATTGTTCCATTGTATTGTATTTTATTTTCTTTTTTTTTTTTTTGTATATGTTTGTTTGTTTATTTATTTATGTATACATTTTTAATATATTTATTTATTATACATTATATTTTTGGTATTATTTTATTGTTCCATTGCGCTATATTTTATTTATTTATTTTTATTTATTTTTTTATTTTTTTTTATTTGTTGTTTTATTTTTATGTATTTATTTGTTTATAACATATTTATGTATTTATTATTTATTTATGTATTATTTATTATATTAGTTGGTATTATGTTATTGTTCCATTATTTTTATTTTTTATTGTATTTTCTTTGATTTTCCTTTTTTTTTTATGTATTGTTTTCTTTTTATGTATTTATTTATTGTTATTTATTAAATTTTTGTTTATGTATTTATGTATTTATTTTGGTGTATCTTATTTATTTATTTATTATTACCATTATTAGTGGTAGTATGAGTATTAGAATTGTATTATTATTTTTATTTATTTTATTTATTTACATATTTTTTATCTAGGTCTCCTCAATAAATGTGACTCAAAGGTGTGCACAATATCTCGGCATGATATCTTGTCCCATCCCTATTGCTGCAGATTTTTTTATTTTATTTTTTAAAATCATAAATAAAATAAAAAAAGATAAATAAATAAGATGCAAAATAGTTGAGATTTTAAGCTCTTACAGTGCACACACTGACTATAGTGTCATTTTGTAGCTGTTACATTATTCTTCCCATTGTAAAAAAATAGAAGTTGTAGAAAGTTGACCGCTGTTCTCTGGTGTTTTCCTGAAGTAAAGCTCATGTGATCCGCAGGAAACCGCATGATTCAGATTTGTCCAAGCCAAACTTAAGAAGCATGTGTGTTTGAATGTGCAGATCTGAGGGGCCAGAATGGAGGCCTCTTACTCTGTTTTTTATTCCAGTGGTGTCCCGGCAAATGTCCCCGCGGGCCTGAGGGAGAGTGCATGAGGAGCGTGCACGTAGGAGTGTGCATGGGGAGCGTGCACGTAGGAGTGTGCATGAGGAGCGTGCACGTAGGAGTGTGCATGAGGAGCGTGCACGTAGGAGTGTGCATGAGGAGCGTGTAGGCCTGTCACGATAATCACTCTATTGGCTTTCCATTCAAAACATGATAACTGGGAAACTATTTTTTGTGCACTGTGTAACTTTTCTGCTGGATGGTCCGCAATCTGCTCATCTCCATGGTGATGTCACTGCGTCGACTGGGATGTTCCACAGTATGGCATTAAACAAATATATCTTGTTTTTATTAAATTACAGACGTTTATTGTTCTCAAAACTATCACAAAAAAACTTAAATTATGAACATGAGCCGGCCTACTTCTCCACAGATTTGACCTGTAACTTGGCCTGCTTGTCTCCATGAAGATAGTTAAATTAAATGCCATACTGTGGAACATTTTAGGAAAAAAATCAATATGGACTTAAGCTGTTTTCAGAGCCTCTACCAGAAAAGTTACACAAAAAGTTACCTTTAAGATATGATTTGAGCTGTAGAGGTTTGAATAAATAACTTCTAAGATGTCATGGTTCACGTTTTGTAGTCGTTGTTTTTGGTTATTTTGGTATATCTTTTTCTTTCAGTGTAGTATGCCCTTTGTTGGTCCATTCTGTCATGTGGAAATAGAGGAAGGACCCAAAATCCAAGACTGCAGTTGACGTTTTTTTTTTTTAAATAACAAATAAAGAGACCCCAAAAATCAAAACGAAACCGCCACAACAAGACAAGACATTGACAATGACAATGGACCAATGGACAATGACAATGGATGAAGTGCAGAGGAGAACACAGTTTATATAAGCGCATAGATAAAGGTGTAACACATTAGGGCGGGGCAAACAGACAGGAAGTAAAACTCTAAACTATAAGCAGAAAGGACAAATAAAACACCAAAGGCACACTACGCTAAAGGGAAAAAAAACTACAAAACAAGAAAAAACAATGACTACAAAACATGAACCATGACATATGACTGTACAGAAGTGTTTAATTTAGCTATGTATGTATTATTTCACTTTGTTCTATTTAATTGTGTATATCTAGAATATTTTAAAAACATAATTCTAGTGATATTGTGTTAGTGTTAAGTTGCATGTAACTTTTTGGTTTGGGGTTTGTCACTTTCTTGTTTCTATGGAAATGTCATTGCTCTGCCTGGAATGTTCCACAGTACGACATTAAACAGCTCTACCCAAGGCTGTGCAATTAATTGAATTTTGATTCCAATTTCAATTTGTGTGTCAAAAAATCTCCAAACTCATATAATTGAGCTTAAGCTTAACAAAGTTTATTTTGGGATGTGTTTAATATAAATAAGTATATTTATTTATTTATTTATTTATTTATTTATTTATTTATTTTTATATAGAAATTATAGAACAGCTTGATATATATAGTTTATTTTGGATACATTTAAATATTTTTATGCCTTATTTCATGTTCAAAATATATTTTATTCATTTTATGTTTTATACATAGCAAAACTGCTCTAAGATACTTTTTTTTTTTATTTGAAAGTTTTGCGTAAATTATCACATGTTTTCATCAGAAAGAAATGCATTGTGTAATAAAAAATAATATAATTGTAATTTCAAAATAGACGAAATATAATCGTGATAATGATTTTTTATTTAATTTTTTTCCCATAACCAAGCAGCTCTTGCTCTAGCTTAAAAATACCTAGAAAAACCGACATTCTGACTGTGAGTGGGGTCACCTCTCCACAGATCTGACCTGTAATTTGGTCCAGTTTGATCTTGATGAAGATAAAACGGTTTAATGTCATATTGTGAAACATTCCAGACAAAGCAATAACATCTCCATGGAGAAAAGCGTTTGACGGACCCTCCACCAGAAAACTTTATCACCCAAAACTTCAAATTTTGTTATCGTGCCAGGCCCGGGAGCATGCGTGAGGAGCGTGCACGGTTGAGTGTGCATGTAGTGTGTGCATGGGGGAGCGTGCATGCTTACAGGTGCGTCGCCGTGTCCAGAGCAGCGAGCGCGCCCTCTCCCCCGGACACTGCATCCGACTATTTACTCCAGATGCCCTGTCACCATCGTTTAGTGTTGCCTGCTCCAACCGTTCCCCCGCTCCGTCACTCCCATCAGCTCAATACGGAAAATCAAAGCCCCCTTTCTTCTGTCTCTTTGTTTATCCCTGCAATTACTGATAGGCTTTCGCAGAAGGATGCCGTTTTATCTTATTCATATGTGTCAGTAATTGGTGCATGCTCGGGCTCCCACTTTTTGAGTAATTGTGAGTCCTCTGTACCAAATCTGAAATGCTAATGTTTGGAAAAAAAAAAAAAGAGAAAAAAATCCATTCTGTTTGTTTATTCCTTTGTTATGCCTTGAATTGCTTGCCTGCCTGCACTGGGGTCCGTTGTAAATATCCCGTAGCGGCGATTGTAACGTTGACTGATCGCTACCTGGATTTTTGTCACTTTGAAACAGGTGAACAACGCAACGGCGAGAGTGATGACAAACAAGAAGGTGGCCAACCCGTACACGAACGGTGAGTGGGACGTCCCGAAGTCGGATCTGTAAGAGGAGATGTGTTTTTTAATTTATTTTTTTTAATGTGGAGTTTGTGTTTTTGTTTTTTTGCTCGTGTTTTTGTGTCAGGATGGAAGCTGAATCCAGTGGTGGGAGCTGTCTATGGTCCTGAACTCTACGCCGGTAAGAATTAAAGTACCAAGTGTGGCCAGAGTAATGCATTTTCATTTTTTGTGATCACATTTTATCGTTGTGTTGATGGACAAAAACTAAAAAAAAAAAATTTGTAGAGAAAGCATTTCAGTTTCAGTTAAAAAGGTCAATTATTGCAATATAAGCTTAGTTTACAATCTATAATGAAAATGTTTTAGCCTGGCCTTGCAATGCTTATGTTGATTCGCTGTTTCGCTTAAAAAAATAATAATAATAATTTGAACAGCTGTACAAAGCCCTCCTCTAATATGGCCTCTCTTATCTAACTAGACTAAATAATCATTAAAGATGCTATTTTATGTTATTAGGTTCTTTTTACGGACCAAGAGTTTGTTTTCATACCTGACAGGTCCTTCCTCGGAGTGGTCACATGATGTTGCTGTGAAATGTCCGGTCAGATGATTTAAACAGGTTTTGGCGTTGTCTTCCTACCGGTGGAGGCAGGACCACAGCGCCATCTGCAGTCCGACTTCCTCGGGACAGTATCCCAGGTGTGTGAGAGAAAAAAAGAGAGAAGCACATTATGGACTGGGACGGAGCAATCATCACTGAGACAGAGGAAAACAAACATCACCGCTGGATTAAAGAGGCAATCGAAATATGGAAACGTGCTTGATAAACCTGGATGAGGGGGCTTTTTTTCTCTCACACACCTGGGATACTGTCCTGAGGAAGTGGGACTGCAGATGGCGCCGTCGTCCTTCCACCGGTAGGAAGACATCACGTGACCACTCTGAGGAAGACCGTGAGTGAGCAGTCCAAACTCTCAGGTATGAAAACAAACTCTTGGTCCTTAAAATCAACCTAAAAATATAAAATATCTGAAGACCAAATGAGTCTCAGTGAACTAAAGCTACTATTTGCAATTCTCACAAATCACCACTAGATACTGATTCAAAAAAAAAATTATAAAACAAGCTTTGGTCTGACAGAAGAAGACCAGAGAGCACAGGTGAGGCTTCAGGTCAATTCCAGCTAAGACCAATAGACTCAGGGAAAGCTTCTTCCCGAAAACTGTCAACAAACTGAAAGAAAACTGTTAATTTGTTTTATTTATTATTAATTCTTGTACGTTGACGGAGCAGCTCTGAATTTCATTATACTGTATAATGACAATAAAGGCTTTCTATTCTATTCTGTTTCTATAAAGACCAAGGGAGCAGAGGGGAGAACAGGATTCAAATAAACTAACTACTAAACTAACTAAACACAAGACCTGGGGGGACTGGGTCTTTTCCGCTGCTGCCCCCACCCTCTGATACTCCCTGCCTGAACACATCAGAGACTCATCCACGCTCACTATCTTCAAAAAAGCCCTGAAAAACTCACCTGTTCCAAACTGCCTTTAAATAACTGCCTCTTCGGTTTATCTGTTTTCTTTCATTTGTGTTTGTGTCTGTCTTGATCTATATGTGCAGCGTCTTTGAGTTGTTATTATTATTATAAAACTTGCAGATGGTAGGTGTAGAATTCCAGGTAGAACCCAAGGCATAGAAGAAGTAAAATTTCGCACCTCATCCAAGCTGCTTCTTCAGTTCTGGTCAGATGCTGCTGGACACTTCTTTATATCTATCTTTTGGGAAGAGCTAACTACACTGAAACTACTCTGAAACTAAAAAACACAAGTCCAAGCTCTTCCAAAACTACCTCAGGAAAAAAGAACAAGATGGTGAGCTTGAAAACACGGAGTGTCCAGCACAGTGTCCAGACTTAAACCCCATCGAGCTGGTTTGGGATGAACTGGACAGAAGAGTAAAAGCAACCCTCAAGTGCCACACATTTATGGAAACTTCAGCAACAGACTTGAGAAGAACTTTCCGAAGAATATTTTATTTCTATTGTAAAAAGAATGAGTGTGTTCAGCTGTTATATCTGCCAAAGGTTGACACTTTCATGAATCAAAAGTTTAGAATATGTTTTGGTCAACAGTAAACAGTAAAAAAAAAGTGTGGTGTTCTAAAACTTTTGACCAGTAGTGTAAATGATTCTAAAATGACTGCACTTCTCAAAACAAGACAAACAATACTGTTAGACTTGAATTTAAGTTATTTTACGAAATGTAGGTAGTATTTTTTATTTATTTTATTTTTTCTCTGTGGAGTGTTTACATTTCGCAATACGTCCAAGTTGACACAGCACAGTGAATCTAAGCTCTCTACACTTTACACACTTTGTCGAAACTGTACACAAGTAGGTGTGTTAGTTTCAGAGTAGTTTCAGTGTAGTTAGCTCCTGCCTGCAGGCAGATATAAGGAAGTGTCCTCCAGCATCTAACCAGAACTGAAGAAGCAGCTGGGATGAACTGTGATACATTTTCAACCTAAATAAATGTTTGTACAGTTGACAACTTGAATTTCTCCTTTGCCTTGAAGATGGGAGCTTAAAAAATAAATAACTAAATAAAAAGTAAAAGAAGAAACAAAGAAACATGTTCTGTTTTCGATAAAAATACATTTTTGTTCTATGTACTTTCTGTTGTACATAGTGTTGCTTTTTTTTCCTCTTCACTAATTTACAAATACCAGAGTGGTGATGATAAAATCAGAGAGATGTATGTCTTAGAATCCTGTATTGTGTAGTATGAATGCTGTTTGTGTGTTGTGTTTGTCTTTTGTTCAGTTTTGATTAGTTTTTTCTTTCTTTTCTGTAAACGCTATTTTTGTTAATGCATGTAGGACCCCCTCACATAAATCCCTTATAAATAAATAAAATAAAATAAATGTATAGTAGCTTTTCCTAAAATTAAATCTAAATATAATATAAAATCATTCTGAAAATTGCCAAATGTGATACAAAAAAAATCAGAGGTGGCCTATTAGCAGAGGGTTTTGTACACAATACTCACATACAGTACACAGAATGCATTATGGGTACAACTCATACTTTCAATCAAATGCCACTGGTATATTTAAAATTCTATAACTAAGTGTGCCTATGCATTGAAATAAACCTAAAAGACTTGTTGGCTTCATTTCCACTTCAGCCATAGTCAAACGTCTCCTCCATCTCAGTGTTTTTATTCCTTTATTGATATATATTTGATGGCAGCGGTGAGTCTTTTATAAGATTACAGGCCCAATAAATGCCAACGTGAATGCATCAGGACCCAGTGGAAAAGCCATGGTGGAGATTATGGGGCCATAGAGAAACATACGGTACTTGATTACAATGATTTTATTTGTAGGATTTTGAAAAATGTTTGTTGTAAATAGTATTAAAGTTTGATAAATCGGGATTGCAGCTGTTGTGCGTTGACAGGAGGCTTCACAGATAGCGCGTGTATGCCTGTGTACTGAACGCGCCGGTCATTTGGATAAGGCAGCCTTGATCCTAAACATGCCTGATCTTGTATCTAGTCTCATACGCTCAGACTGTAAAGGGACATGTGCTCAGTCCTCTATCAGCGGCAGCCAATCCCGCGGCGCCGCCAGAGCCTCCGCAATCGTGTTGATCCTGAAGAGGCAGCACATGAAATTCCCTGTGAAGCAAAGTGAAAGTGAAAGTGAAAGTGAGGGCGCGGGGCGGTGATAAGCGGTGTATGATCCCGCGCGCTCAGGCTGAGAGGAGGCTCCTTTGTTTGCTCTGTGTGCGACTGTAAGTCTGGAAAAATGATTCAAGAGCAGCGCGCCTCTTATCAGATTCTGAGACGCGCTGTGGATGGATTTGCCAAGTGCACCAGATTGACTTTTACAGAGCTAACCGAATAAGGGAGATTGAGTGAGCGATATTGTTGGCACCGGGCTGCTCCTCCTCCTCTGTGGGGTTTTCCTATCTCTGCTGCCTGCACATGCCAGCTTTATTGCTCCATGTTATATGAACCCTTTGCATTTTAATGAGGGGGAAATGGTACTATTTCATTTGGAAGAAGTGCTGAGCACATCGCGCCGCTTTAACGGCTTTCCTTTCTGCTCATTAGACTAAAATCTGTTCATTCCCCGGACAGCTTTACGGCCAGCCTCTAAATAACTGTCCATGACAGAAAGCACCATCTATCATTTTTATACCCCCCAGCCCCTCGCCCAAGAGACGCCCCCAGCCCGTCGCCCTAGAGATGCCCCACCCCCCAGCCCCTCACTCCAGCCCGTTGCCCTAGAGATGCCCCAGCCCCCCAGCCCCTCACTCCAGCCCCTCACCCGAGAGACGCCCACAGCCCCTCGCCCTAGAGATGTCCCAGCCCCTTATCTCAGCCCCTCACACTATAGATACCCCAGCCCTTACCCCAGCCCCTCTCTAAAGAGACACCCCCAGCCCCTCGCCCTAGAAATGCCCCAGCCCTGCAGCCCCTTGCCCCAGAGACGCCCAAGCCCCTCGCCCCCAGAGATACCACAGCCTCATGCCCTAAATATACCCCAGCCCCTCACCCTGGAGATGCCCCAGACTCCATAGATGATCCTGCCCCCCACCACTCACCCTAGAGATGCCAGCCCATCGCCCCAGTCCCTCACCCCAGAGATACCCCTCGTCCTAGAGATGCCGAACCCTCCACCCCTCACACCAGAGATAACCCAGCTCCCCATCCCCTTGCCCCAAAGATACTCTAGCCCCTCCTCCTAGAGATACCGCAGCCCCTCAGCCCAGCGATACCCCAGCCCCTCGCCCCAGAGATACCCCAGAGATACCCCCTGCCCTCCCAACTCTACAACACGTTCTTCTTTTCAGCGTCTTGGCCTCATAATGACTCTGAACACACACATATGGAATGTAAGCTTATAAACAAACATATGAACAAACAGAATAGTTCAGAGCAGTGTGAATCAGCTCACAGCTCTGGGGCTCCTCTCTCCTCACACACACACACACACACACAAACACACACACACACACGGCACATTCCTCCACATCAGGACTCAGGCTGTGGTGTTTAAACACAGAGCTCGTCACTGCAGAATCAGGCTTTTCCGATAAATCACATAAAACACAGGCTGAATACAGTACAGAGAGCTGTCCGTGGTCCTGAACTATATGACCGT